AGGAAGTAGCAACCACAGGCATTCTTGTCCTGATCCTGGTAGCAAAGAAAATGTCTTCAACACCATGGGGTCTGGTGACTGAAGGATGTGTTTCATCAATACCTTTTACCAGGTTAAAGAAGTTTCCCTCTATTCCTAGTTTGCTGGTGGTTTTTATCAGAGATGGATTTTATCAAGTTCTTTTCCTGTAACTATTGAAATGACAATTTTTCTCTTTTAACCTGTTAATGATATTAACTGACACGGCTATATTTTTTTTTGAATATTAAACCAAACAGTATCCTGTGATGGACGGAGTTGGTGGACTCACTGGCCTTTCTAAAGCCCCTCGTGTGCACTCATAAATAAGGCTGAATTTTATTTTTCTTGCACTGTTCTTGTCTGGTTTTGGCACTGAAGTCACATAAGCCTATAAGATGCTTCCTAAAGGAGCATGCAAAGGATCAGAACTGTGTGCTCCCTGAAGACCACTCTCCCAGGGAGCCATCTGACTGCGGGATGCTTCTGGAGGAGCTTCGAGGCCATCCAGTTCCCACTGCCTCTCCAGTCATTGGAATAAAGCTGCTTCTAGCATTCTCTCGTCACCTCTCCCACCTGCTCAGCTACGACCTTGTCCCCACGGCAGGGTGGGGTGGGGTGGGGTGGGGTGGGGYGGAGGCTGCCCGAGCGCCCGGATGTGCATGTTCTCTTAGGTCCTTTCTATTTCATGCATTTCAGTTCTTATATCTATTACTATTAATACCCATGTATTTACTTAATATTGTTCATTATAATTAATGGGATTTAATTATTATTGATATGTAATCCTTATTATTAATATCATTAGTTTTAATTAATGATATTGTCATTTCCTTGTTTCTGTTGGAATTATTCTGCGGCACTTTTCTCAACTTGCTGTGGGGGGAGGACTTCCCAGTCTCTCACTCCTTCTGACATAAGCACTTGGGTTACTGCCCAGGAGGGTTTTCATCTCTCAGGACAGCTGGCCCAAGTGTCCCGGTCCCCTGCTAGGGCTGCCACAGCCAGCTCCCCACCCCAACTGTCCAAACCAGGACCCTCCCCAGGGAGAGGAGAAGGGGAGCAGTTCAAGAGACCCCGCATTTTCTTAGAGGGTGTATTTACCCGAGGACTTTTTTAAGCCGTCCTTAGGCTTGGACATGCTTTCAACTGTATTCAACATGTAGGTTAACACCTGCCCCCCATCAATCGGCTGGGATCAAAAAGCAGAAAATTAGGTATGGCAATCAATCAATCAATCTAATTTCAGTGTGAGTTAGCTTTGATGACTTTCCTATAATAATTATATATAATTGTTATGATTAGAAAATCTCAAACTTTTCAATCAAGGACAACAGCTATTTACAGGATTCTTGCAAGGCATTCCTGGGCACACGGCACCTTTCACCTCATCAACAGCGCCACCATCCATGTGGCAGAGGGAGCCCACCGTGGCTGGGGGTGAGGAGAAGGGATGTGGGTCCCAGGTGAGGCAGAGCGGGGGAGCCGGGAGGAGTCTAGCAGGTAAGTGGCTGCCCCAGCCACCAGGGCAGGTCAACCCCACATATGGACGCCACTCTGGAAACTCAGTGCCATGGACCCTGGAGTCAGGGTGCCTGGCTGTCTGCAAACCTCCTCTGTGGCTCCTGCTGGCTCTGTGTTCTCTTTCAGGGGGCCTCGGGGAGGAGACAACCTATACAAATTCTGGAGCAGGGCCAGTGCGTGCCCAGGCCCTGGCTCCATCTCTGCTTGACAGAATCAAAACCAAACGRCAACAAAGCAAATTCTGGGCAAAGAACATTTTCTACACTAGTGCACGTTCTCTTAGGCCCTTTCTATTTCATGCATTTCATTGCACGAGCTGAAGTGCCCTGGGACGAGCTCAAAGAAAAAGGCGGGAACCAAAGCCACGTTTGGCAGAAACCAAGGAAGGCGTCGAGAGGGAGCCTCCAATGAGAGGCTCGCTGGGCCCCACAGGCTGCCCCGGCCTCTGGCAGAGGGAGACCACCTGCACCACTCCCGGGGCCTCCTGCAGAGTCCTCTGTGTGAACCCACAGGGAACCCACCTTTCACAGCAGGAGCAGCACTCCTGCGCCTGAAGTAACTATGAGAAAGTCACTAAGTAACTAGACATTTCTGTTAGCTCACTTAACATTCACAGAGCACACAGGAGGAAGAGGAAATGGGGAGGTGAGGCCAGGGGTGCAGAGCCACAGGTACTGGGATGAGCAGGTGTGCAGAGCTGGCTGCAAGGGTGCGGTGAGGCGTGGTGGGGTGGTGGGGACTGGCAGTCAGACCGTGTCACAGATTTCTGCTGAATGTGATTTTAGTTGCTCTTGCCGCAAATAAAGGAATAGATGTGAGCCATGGTGGGTATGTTAATTTGCTTCATCATAGTGACCACTTTAAGATCTGCACGTATCCYGTGACATTATGTTGTATGCCTTAAGTATACACAGTAACACTTATTTTAAAACACATAGTAATTACCAGAGGTTTGATAAATATTAATGGTGCTAAAAAGTTTCCTTTTCAAAGTGCCTTTTAAAAGTGGGCTAGTGGCAAGCCATCCGCTCTCAGGCATTGCCTTCCTCCTGTGGAGCCTGGAGGGTGCTGAGGAGCGAACCCAGGGCCTCACACATGCAGGCTCTGCCCAGCCCAAGGCATTTCCAATCTGACAGGACCAAAGCCAAGCCCCTAGCCCACCAAGAATGCAGGACAATCTGTACAAAAACGGGCCTTGATTCTCCCCCCTTAAAAAAATCAATTTAATAGATAAAAAAGGTGATATTGGGTGGGGGGAGAATAGACGTGTGTGCGCTGCCAAACCCAAATGCAGCGTGGGAACCGACTGCGCCCAGGGGGGGCRGAGCAGGGCAATTCCAAAAGCAGCTTGAGGAAGTAGGGAAATGAGATTCTGGACCAGGGCTGGATAACCTGAAGTCACTGCTCTGTCCCCAGGCATGAGTGGTAATCACTATGGCAATGCTGGGCAATCTTCCTGCTTCCTTAATTTAGGGGACACACACACACAGGTTTAAGGGCACAGTGTCATGCTTGGAAGCAAAAATAACCAATGGTCTTGGCAACCATGGTGAAAGCACAAACAGCCAGACAGGGTCAGACTTCGTGGATCAGCTGAGCCTTTTTTCAGCAGTGAGGCCCAGCATCACTTTCTGGATAGAAAATGGCCCCTGGTCACAAGAGGAATCTGTGCTTATATAGACTTCACTGCAAAATGGCTTAACCATTCAAGACTAACAGAACATATCAGGTTGGGCCCCCAGGAGACAGGCTGTGAGAATCTGAAATTTGTTTTTACTGGGCAAATGTGTTTTTCTGGGCTAGGACGGAGGAGAGGGTCCAGAGTTCGGCACTTATCCCCCCACCTCCAGGGTCTATTGTATGTCTCTGGGAAAGGACATATTGGGAGAGGATCAATGCTTGCTTTTCCAGGGATTGTCCTGTCACTGGGTGATGACTGCTTCACTCCCAGGGATTGTCCTGTCACTGGGAAAGGATAGATGTTATCAGTGTTCTGCTTTCTTCCTCCCTCCCTCTTCCCAGGCCACTCTGTTTTGGGGCTGTCATTTCCAACCCTCAACGCTACCCACGACTTATTCCCACATGTTTAGAGAAGGCTGGGTGGAGAGCAGACGTGGCAGATGCCAACAGGTGGGCAGCTGGGTGGAGGTGCACAGGTGTCAGTTGTACTGAGCCTTCTATCCTTAAGCAGCTTCCAAAATTTTCAAAACAAAAGAAAAACAAGCAGACACAGAAGCCTGCTGGGCTCTTTGCAGGCAGAGAACCCTAACCCAGGGGCCTCCCAAAAGCTTCGGAACAGAGAGCAGATAAGATCAAGTGCAGGAACACGTCAGGTAAGTGTCACTCATCAGGTGAGGATCTGGAGACAGACACCAAGGACAGACTATCCAAGGCCATCAGAGGCCTGGGATCCGGGCAGCCTGCTGGGCCTCAACTAGCCAAGGACAGGACACGGGCACTCCACAAGGATGGGTACATAAAAAAGAGGGTCACCGATCCACCTGGGGAACTCCTCACTGGCACTGCGGCTGCTCTTCTCTACGGACCTGGGGCATCCTGGCATCTCCCCTTTGGCCTCCTGCCTGCGCAACACACAACACACCTGCCTGCTGAGGGTTTGCCAAACAGGAGCCTAGCTACTAATGCTATTCCAGCCTTCCCAAGCGGTGTCAGCGAAAGGCACCAGTGTCCAGGCTGACCCACAGAGGAACCAGGGACCGCAGTATGACAGCACTCCTCAGCCCCCCAACACGGCCCTCCCTTCGGGCCCTCCCCTCCTGGGCCTGCAGGTCACCACTTGCATCTTCCTGGAACCTGTTGTCGGCACAGGGCCGGGAGGGAGCCAAGCGCCGCCCTCCTCCACCCTCGGTGCTCTCCGTGGGCGCCGTTCCTGTTCTCAGGCAGCAGACATCACAGGATGTCTCGGGTGACACGCTGCAGTTGTCTGCCAGACAGCTCAGCCATTCTCTGGAAGGAACCACTAGAACACGCTCCCTCACACCGGCAGGCTTCCTCCTGTGATTCCCGCCTGGCCTCTGGGGTTCAGATCCAGTGAAATTCCTCCCCTACAACCCTCAGAAAGCACCAGAATGTTCTGTCTGTTCCCATCTATTCCCTGCAGGAGGCCTGGGGCAGCAGCAGCCCGGATTAGCTCATAGCACAGGGCAACCCCTTGAGGTGTCCGTGGGCTCCTAAGGCCATAGAAGTGCAACCCTGCAGGGCATCTGTYCCCTGAACCACACCTTTCCACATCAACATGCAGCTTCCCTTTCCAGAAGGACTCGCACTGAGGACCTGGAGGGGAAAGTCCCATTATAAGTGCAAAGTCTGCACCATGTGGGGTCAGTGCAGCTGACGAGGCTCTGCCTGGGCAGATGTCCTGCCAATGGCATCGACTTAGTGAGACTGAGACAACAGGCCCAGCGCGGCTGGGGCATGAACTGAAGGTGAAGGCTTACCTCCCCCTGGAAGCTCTTCAGCAGCGGCGCTACCTGCTTGCGCAAATCCTGGAGCAGCAGCAGCGGGGCAGCAGCAGCGTGGGGAAGGAAAGAGAAGGGAACACTGGTTAGCGCTTCAAGACAGCTCGAGTCCCAGAGTTCTGAGCTTATGCCCGCAACATAAAGCCTTCCCGCCCCTCTCCCAACCCGAGTGCCCACTTGGGAACTRATGCTCCCTTACGTGAGAGCACAGCGGGTCTCACTTCCACTAAGTCCCGGTTAGAACCTGCCATGGGCTGCAGTCCCCATGTCGGTCCCTAAGTGGAGTCACTGAGGCTGCTTCTCTTGGGAAGGCCTGGGCCGCTGTCGTGTTTCAGCAGCTGTCTTGTGMCCTGCTAACGGGAGGGCCAGCCTGTTCTGAAGCCCTCCTGGCAGTCACTGGGAACTCCACCCTGAGCCAACAGTCCTGTGCCCATGCTGTAGGAGGGGACAGCCTGTCCACATACCCCTACGATCTCAAGGATTTACTTTAAGGCGTGTAAACACCTGTCTGAGCAAGACCCACACGCCAGATCAGATTCACTACGTCTGGGACAAGAACATCCACAACTTTTTTCAGTTCCAGGCTGACCCAGATGTATGTGCCCATCTGAAACCGGCCAGGGCTGGTAAGGACAGACACCAGTCCGACCAAGGCACAGGAAGAAGATAAAGTATTATTTTAGAAAAATAAACCTAACACTATGAGAAAATACAGGAGGAAAGATAAAGTCAAATTATGACAGTGAGGAAGTGCTTCACAGGGACAGCGGGTGAGCTGGGGAGAGGGGCAGGACTTTTACAGCTGATAGCAGAGGGCCAGGCTGGGCTCTCAGGGCACCTGCCCCTGCCCTGTCACCAGGACGCCCTCAGAACAAAGGACAGCAAGGCACAGGTGAACCTGAGCCTGCGCCTGGACTCTGTGGACCCGGGGTGAAGGCAGGCAGGAGTGGGGGCTAGGGCAGAGCTTCAAGGGGTTCAGAACAGGGAAGGGGATGGCAGATCTGGGCAATGCTGATTCCGACTTCTGGCTCAGCCACTCTCTAACTGTGGGACAAGGGAAGTCACTTTGTGAGCCTCAGCCACCACCTCTAAGTGCCTAAGGGCGGCCTCGTCTTCCTGGGAGGAGGCAGCGGCAGGTGGGGCTGGGGCAGGCTGCTTGGCTCCTGGCACTCCACCCTTTCCAACTGGGACCCAGTGAGCCTGGCAGCTGGACCGTCAGCCTCACACGGAGATGGATGAGGGGAGCCCTGCCACCCTGGGGCGGTAGGGAGCCCAATCCTCTCCCACTCTGGGATGCTGCAGTTCTAGAACTCGCTGGAGGTGTGCCAGCTTTGGTAACTGCCTGTTCAACAGCATTTTGGGTTCCATTAACCAAGCTCCTAAATCAAAGGGCCCTCCATGCTTAGCTCTTACAGATGGGCTCCCCCAGACATAAAACTACCCATCATCTCCTCAGGGCCGCCTATGGCCTACCCAGGGAGCCCTGGTTAGGAAATCTCGCTCCAGGAGGTGCCGTCCAGCGCGGGGGCCGATGGCCACGTGTGGCTATTTATGTCTAACTGTAACTTAATTAAAGCTAAATAAGGTTGGAGAATTCAGCTCCTCAGCCACTCTGGCCACGTGAGGCCGGCAGACACAGAACGTCCCCAGCACTGCAGGGCCCACGAGCAAGGCAGCTCCGTGAGCTTCTGTGAAGGAGCCACCCCACATGACTCGGCCCCTCACTGCACAGACAATTCATCCCCCTCYTAGGGACACGCTTTTCTGAAAGATGCACTCCTAAACGTGTTCCCTATTCCCTAGAGAAGACCACGTTTCAACTCCTCCACTGGATGGTTTTCTGGATTCCCGTTTTTTTTTTCCCTAATATTCACTTATTTTTATGTGGTGCTGAGGATCAACCCCTCAGCGCTCTGCCACTGAGCCACAACCCCAGTGTTTTCTGGATTTCTAAACCAAGTTCAATGACAAAAAATAATCACACTCTTTCTCAGTTTCTTCTGCACTCGGGCTGTCCTAATCGTGGCAGGCACGATGATGGGCCCCTAGAGATGCCCACATCTCGATCCCTGGAGCATGTGGGAACGCTGGGTCTCATGGTGATGGGGACTTTGGAGATGTGAACAAATTAGGGACCATAAGTAGGGAGAAGACTAGATTATCCAGGTGGCCGGTGTCCTGGCAGTGACCGTGTAAGAGGGAGGCAGGAGTGCCGGGGTGAGGGAAGGGGACTTGAGGACAGACACAGGGTCGGAATGCTATCGGGGTACAGGCCAGGGACCGAGGGTAGCTGGGGAGCTGAAGGAGACCAGGACAGACCCATCGCTGGGCTGCTGAAGGGAACATACTTGGGCCACATCTTTGCAATCCCGTTTGGGATTCGTGGGCTCTGGCCTCGTCAGATAACAGATCCCTGTAGTTCTGGCCTCTAAGACCAGGTGAGCGGCTACTGCAGCGGCAGGAAGGAAAAGCAGGCGGGTTCTTACCCTCTGCACTCCTCAGAAGGCGGAGGGCAAAACGTAACACTGTGAGGGGACGAGGGGACAAGGGCCACCCGGGTCGATACCACATTCCAAACACCACGAATCAGCCACAGTGCTTTGCAGGAGGCCTGGTCTCCCTGGGCCGTGATGCAGGAGGGTAAGTGCAGGTGGGAGGTGTGTGTGCCTTGCTGGTGGTGACCTGGYGCCCTGCCGGGAGTGGAGACCCTGGTGGGGCAAGGGAGGGCGCAGGCAGACTCCCCTGGAGAGAGGGGGTTCTCCCCCTCCCCAGGCAAGGACAACAGGAGGATGGCCACGTGGCACGACTGTGGTCACAGACTGCAAACCCAGGACAATGGATGGAGTTAGCGTCCGTTTCCGCAGAGGCTGAATGTGCATGAAGGTGGCCTGGTCGGGAGGCGTGGCTGCCTTGGCCAGCGTGGGCTAAGAGGGATGCCACTCATCCCGCCTGGGACTCACAGTCCATGGCATCCAGGGCACCAGAATCGCCTCTAACACACTACACAAGCAACCCTCCTCTCACATGGGGAGGCACAGACACTTGCGCATCTTATTTTTAAAAACTAAGACATGAAAAAATCAAGGAAAATAAGCCAATGAGAGGCTTGCCTTCCGACTGTCAGACGCCAAGGAGCTGGACTGGAGGCTGGCTGCTCGCCCTAAGGGGACTAGGTTCATGGGGTGGCCCTTGGGCCCTGCCCTGCAATATTTGACAGCCAGTAGCCCCTGCTGACCGCTTGGGCTCTGAGCAGTCCCCTGGAGACAGCCAGGGTGGCCCAGCACAGGCTACGCATTCCGGCATTCCTCCCTCTGAGCTCCAGACAGGGACYTGGTGACAGGAGCGCAGCCTCTGCTTTCCGGCTGGGGCTGCTGCAGGTGGCGTGGGTTCTGCCTGCCCCTCTTCCTGCAGCTTCCAACGCAGAGCTGGGTGGCATTTTGCTGAGGACACCCAGGCACGGGTGGGTTGAAGACTCTAGAAAGTTGGAAGCTGAGTCCCCCCATACCAGACCCCATGTCTGCTTCCCCAGAGGGCTAACAGGCCCTTTCCTGCCGACCCCACCCACAGGGCAGGCTGCAGTGTGGCCCAGGCCTGGAGCACAGGTGCTCTGCAGTCTGGGAACTGGCAGTGGGTCGGGTCGGCAGGAAGATCGAATCTGGACCTGCTGCCCTGGGTGTTAGCTTGACTTTGGGCCACACCTCAGGCCAGCGCTGGTCTCCTCCATGCTACTAAGGGCCTGGCACACCAGAAGGACTCAGCCCTGAGTGGAGTGGACATGAAAGCAAATGAAAGAACAAGTGGAGAACAGACGACCCTCCAGGGGAGCCGAGACCCAGCAAGCGGGAGGTCGCAGCCTACAGAAGAGCCCTCGGGCCTGGGTTCCCGCCTAGGGTGGCTCTGTCCACTGCAGGCCAAGCCAGCCACACACAGCTTCCTGTTCTCTAGTGCCACCCTGACAACGCAGCTGGAATACGTGAAGTTGGCTTTGGCTTCATTTCACCCAGTGTGTCCCAAATGCGACCCTTTCACAAGAAATTGATGTAAAAATTAGCAAGGTATTTTTACGTATATTTCCATTTCATTTTGTTCACTGACTTGTATTTCTGCTTTGAGGTTCTGCTGTCTGCTGTGCACTGCATGCTCAGCTCACCGTCTCAGTTTGGACTGGCCAAGGTCAAGTGCCCGTAGCCACACGGCTGGCAACCTCTATCCTGGGCTGCTTGGGCTGAGAGACATCCAGTCGGGGCTCTCCTGGGAGGGGGGTKGCAGGGGCAGGGGGACGGCAGGGAGAGCGCGCGGCCAAGTGAGGAGTGAGCTCAAGAGGAAAAAGGCGGTCACTGTGCCAATGCTGCCCCGAGATGAGGACTAGGAAGGGACTGTTCATGGGATGTCGCAGCTTGAGCTGAGCCGGGGACAGAACCAGCTCAGCAAGTGCAGGAACATCCTGAGAAACCCGGAGTCCAGGGGAAGGAGGCAAGAGAGACCCACAAGGTCTGAAGTGCCAACTCGATGTCTGCCACGAGCTGAGCACTGGAGCCAAGGGCTCCTCACAGTGATCCCATCAACATGAGGGACAGGTCTGCTGTCCGGACAAGACCCTGAGGCTCAGAAAGGGAGGGGAATTTGATCAAGATTACTGGAAGGGTTAGAGTTTGAACCCAGWTTTCCCTCTAAAGTCCACACCACAGTGAGGTTTTTTAAAGGATGTAATCACGGTGGCCCCATATGGGCACAGGCACAGCATACAGAGGCCACCCAGATAGCAGGCCACACGGTGGTGGGGTGGGGCGCAGGGTATGTACAGGCCCATCCCTCCAAGGCTTATCAAGGCCCAAATTCAGAGAGAAACAGTGAAGCCGGATGGGGCCGTGGAAGGAGAAGGGCAGGGGAGCCGAGATGCAGGCCACAGCAGGTGCCCCCAACCCGGCCCACCTGGCACAGTGCTGMCTCCTGAGAACACCAGCTCAGGAGGTGAGAAAATCATTTCTACATCTATGGCAGAATCCCAGCTGGGCCGAAGAGCCTCG